ACATATATATATATATATCATATATAAATATATATCATATATATATTATGGTAATGATAATAACAGCATATGGCAATTGCATATAACTAGCTCTATCACAGTTTTTGTACAGGTCGGTTATTATTATGTTATATGCATGCTAAAAAGCTAAAATAATGGAAAATTGCAGCCATTTTAAATTGTAATAGCTCAAAAATGTGTACAATATTTAGTTAACTGTTGCTGTCATTGTTATGAGTGGATTTCCAATTGAATACTGCATTTTAATGACATAAATTTACAATATTAGTGACAATTTTAGGAAAAAATGGCGGCCATTTTGAAACAACTGGCAACCCCCCTTACGTATGAAAAAAAAAATGTTGCACATACTTTTTTGATTTATCTATGTCTACTCTACATCATATCCAATTTTCAAAAAATATAGCAAAAAAAAAAATGCAACCAACCAAAGTTTGCTGGACTATAGCTAAAACAACCGAAATGCATTTATGATTGAAAAAATTAGTGATACCTGTAAATTATCTTATTACTCGACTCCCATTTTCTTCAAGTTTTAAGAGAGTAAAACTTTCATTATTTTGAGGACGCATTTGACGCAGTTAATGTTTTAATACTGTCAACCGAAAGGTCGTAAGTTCGAACACGAGGGTAATTCACATTGCTTCGGTTTATGAAAAAAAAATCGTCTGATACTGAATTACCTGCACAGACGGGAATATTTCTACATGAGGCAATTGCACCAGAAAGAAGTGAAATGGATTCACAATGTGCCACCATAATAATGCAACAATGGGTAACAACAGCAAGCGCAAACTAGTCCTGGAAATTGCACTAAATCCCATCGATATGTATTTTTTAAAATGTTGATTCGTTGTTGTTAAATTATAACGAAATATTATAATGTTTATATACTCATCTGTATCCACAGGTCGTATTACAATCGGCGATTTGAACATGGTGTTACCGTTTGGCAACACAGTTGATATCGTTGAGATTAAAGGAAAATACATTCGCGAAGCACTTGAATTCTCAGTGTACAAGTACGGCACGGACTATATGGGAGGAGAGTTCCTACAAATGACAGGTAGGTACTACAGGTCTCCCTCGAAAGACCCTTCCAATTAAAGACCACTTCCTGTTGTCCCATATTAACAAATGTATGTTATCTTTATTATTCTAATTAGAGACCAACGGTGATAAAAAGCATAGAAAACCGGTCCTAAAAGTCTCTTTAATTGGAGGGAAACCTTTATTGTGCAATAATAATATACATTTTAAAATCAGTTACCGGTATACTGTACAAATGGATTTTTAAACATACGGCTTATAAACATACATATCATTCTATATTCAACATCTGGGGAAAATATATAGAGCACATCCTTTCGCCCAAGTCACCAAACGTCAAATTAAGTATTCTCTTAATCCTCTTTAAACCTATTTATACAGCCTGTGTTATGCCAATAAATAATACAATATAACACTATAAGTTAAATATTTGAATTACTAGCTGGTATATGTAGGCCTGTTATAGATGTAAATTAAAAACTAGAAAGTATTTCCTTCGTCCAATTAACAGATGCCTAAATGACATATTTTATATAATTTGTTACTGTATTATTATTCATATTTTGTAACTATTTCTCCATATAATCACTAGTATTTTATTGCTATAAAATATTAGCTTTTACTAATATGAAGTATATGAAATATGTAAAATATATATTTGTGTTATAGATTTGTAATTATTTTCATTAAGGCTTACATGTAACATATGATGTTACAAAGCAACCAGGTAGTAGGGTTGTTTATGTGGAGGCCGTTTGCACAGAATGCACAGTTCCAGAATACAAACCACTCGTAGATGACGAGATATACAATATTATAGTAAGCGATTACATAGCAAACGGCGGCGATGGTTACTCGATGATTAGCGATAACAAACTGTCATATGTAACAGGTAATTTGGATTCTCATAAAGACTTGTGATTTTACTAGGTTAACATAACTGGTTATGCTACGATATCCAGGAGCAAATTGAGTTTCAGTATGTCTTTGCATTTACTTTTCTATATTTTATACAAACATTTAATATTATTTTAAATTACATGGCACATAATGCAGTTTTAATCTTTCCATCATTGATGCACCTTGCACCTACCTTAGTTCGATTTTTTTTTCAAACACTAATGGGTTACGAATCTATCCTCATATCCGTCTATTTGTGTCTGTGAT